ATCAATCCCTTTTTTACAAAATCTTTTTTATTTTTCATTTTTAGAGTCATATACTCTCCCTTCATAGTAGTTAACCTTATTTTTGGTATATATATATATATATAAGTCATTCTCTCTTTAAAATTTGGGGATAGTTTCTTCTAACAGACCAAAATATACCCTAAATCTCTAGTGTATGGCTTTGTTCTAGTCTCCTGCCTAATCACATTCTCTCCCCTTTTTTTTTTATCCTCTTCCTTCTTTTTTCAACCAATTTATCTTATGAATTCCTTTTATAAAATCTTTTATAATTTTCATCTTTACAGTCATATTCCATCCCTTCATCGTATTTACCCTTATTTTGTACATATATAAGTTTTTCTTTCTTTAAAATTTTGGGACACACTTTCTTCTAACAGACCAAAGTACACCCAAAATCTAGTGTGTGGCACTGATCTATGCACCAACCTGATCATATTTGATCATATTCTGATTTTTTTTTCTTTTTCTTTTTCTTTTTTTTTGCTTTTTTCTTTCTTTCCATTTCTTTTCCCCCAGTTTCAGGTCTCTTCTGATTTGTTTAGTGTATATTTTTCTGGGGTTGTTTTTACCCTGTTAGCAGTTTGTTCTCTCATTCATCTATTCTCCTGGACAAAATGACAAGACGGAAAAAAATCACCCCCAAAAAAAGAACAAGAGGCAGTACCGACTGCCAGGGACCTAATCAATAATGACATTGGTAAGATGTCAGAACTAGAGTTCAGAATGATGATTTTAAAGATACTGGGCTTGAAAAAAGGTGGGCTTGAAAAAAGCATGGAAGTTATTAGAGAAACCCTTTCTGGAGAAATAAAAGAGCTAACATCTAACCAAGTTGAAATCAAAAAGGCTATTAATGAGGTGCAATCAAAAATGGAGGCCCTAACTGCTAGGATAAATGAGGCAGAAGAGAGAATTAGTGATAAAGAAGACCAAATGATGGCAATCAAGAAGCTGAGAAAAAGAGAGATAAACAACTACTAGATCACGAGGGCAGAATTCGAGAGATAAGTGATACCATAAGACGAAACAATATTAGAATAATTGGGATCCCAGAAGATGAAGAAAGAGAGAGAGGGGCAGAAGATATATTGGAGCAAATTATAGCAGAGAACTTCCCTAATTTGGGGAAGTCAAAATCCAGGAGGCATAGAGAACCTCCCTCAAAATCAATAAAAATAGGTCAACACCCCAACATTTTTTTTTAAGATTTTATTTATTTATTTGACAGACAGAGACACAGTGACAAAGGGAACACAAGCAGGGGGAGTGGGAGAGGGAGAAGCAGGCTTCCCGCCGAGCAGGGATCCCGATGCGGGGCTCGATCCCAGGACCCTGGGATCATGACCTGAGCTGAAGGCAAACACTTAATGACTGAGCCACCCAGGTGCCCCTCACCCCGAC